CGTGAAAATGAAAATAGGTTTTTTTCATTTTCACTTTTTCAAAAAAGACAAAAACGTTTTTATTTTTGATTTTGATCCAGATTTTTCTCAAACACATTTTCATTTTCCGTTTTCATTTTTCTTTCTCGAAAAACGTGAAAAATGAAAATAAAAATGAAAACAAACGGGCCCAACGTCTTCCATTACAATACATCACGTGCACACACGTCTCATCAACTTATTAATCCTTCCCTATCATGTTAATCTCTATCTCTCTACCAAGAGAGATAGCTTATCATGATCAATAAACACATAACTAGCTAATTGGGTGGTCATCATGTCATGGTTTGGACTTGATAAAGACCTTGATTAACCTTGCATGTGAGATTGGTCCTCTAGTGTTTTCTACCTTTAAAAAAAAGTAAACAAAGAAAGTCTTTTTTTTTTTTTTAATGGGAATTTAACCACGGTAGGAATGGTTTTTTTTCTCTACCGTAGGTCCCGTTGTCTTTTATCGTCGGATTAATTCTTCAACAATTTGATATAGAAGTGCTTATATTGAAAATTTATAACGCACTACATAAAACTGTTCTTGTTCATTTATTGGAATGTTGAAAAATTAACAAAATGACTAAAACGACAATATATACCGTCAACTGAAAAGGATAGTTCCTATTGCATTTTTCTTCCTTTATTTTTTGGTAGAATTGAAATATACAATATTCACTCCAAAGCCAATGAGCTTGGGAAGGACAAGCAAACTTTTTGTTTTGACATGTTAAACTCCAAAACAACACACATCAGGATATTTTGCAACAAGATGCTCCTGACACTAATAAATAATTTTGGGGGTGGTGAGGAGCTTTATTTCTTTCCCATGGATTGTTTTGTTTCGACCCACACGTTGTTGTCTCTAGCTCAACTGCAACGTGCTTTGCCGTCTACTTTTTCAAGCACACCCCAACAGGAATCCTATGCTTCATTTTCAAACCCCCAACGTCATACCTGTACTTTGCCAAACTAGAATCTAATTAATAACATTAATAATATTTGTTCATGTAGCTAGAAACATAGAATATATTAAAATAAACGACATCTTTATATGTTGGGAAAGGCTATTTTACTCTATTAGTAAGTTTTTAAACATTCAAATTTATACACGTCCACATCAAATAAAATTTACAATACGTGACAAAAAAATTACTCTCATTACACATCAGACCCTTCAAAAATTAATTTAACCGTTAAAATATAATCCTTATTAATGGAATAAAATAATTTTCTCAACCATACCTGCACAAAAAGAAGAAAGAAAAAAAAAAAAACATTTTAACATTTGGATCGTTGCGAAGCTCCTTAGTTGGCGTCTAAAAGAGCTGCTGTGTTCTTATTAGTTTATGGTCTAATCATTGCTTTGGATTTCCAATTAAGAGGGAAAAATAATTTTTTAGTGGGAAGCACAATTATAATGGTGGACAGGTGGGTTATGTTGTTTGGACAAAACAGATTCTCAGTCAATGTTAAAAAAAAAAAAAAAAAAAAAAAAAAAAAAAAAAAAACTCGTTGTAAGTGATGAGAAATTAGGTATGGGAGCCAATTAGGAGATGCTTTCAAACAATTCTTGCAATTTTGATTTATAGTAAATGCTTAACATGAGAAACAGAAGAATATATATTGTGGGATGTATTCGTTTGTTGGTTCCAAAATCCAAATCTAATATTTTATTTCTTGTAATGAGATACATAAAGACCCTACTCATTAGTGGGTATAAGCAAAGGATGGTGTTTGGTTCTATTTGAAATCAATCCCCCTGCTGGCTTGTCTCCCCACCTTCAATTAAGCTCACACCTTGTCACACTTTCTTCATTGAAAAATACAAAACACCCAATTTGCTAATTGAGGATTTTTGGCATGCTTTATAGGATTTGGTAATTCAAGCATGTTCTTGATTTGAGACTCCAATTGGGACCATCATAACGGGTCACCTAAAATCAAATTGGTTGGTTGAGGCAGTGGAAGAAGAAGGAAAAAAAAAAAAAACAGAGAAAAAATAAGAGAGGAGCTGTAGAATGAAAACAAGAAATACTAGTGAATATTTTTAAATTATCAATTTTGAACTTGGTAATATCGTTTTTTATTCTTGTACATTGGGTCATTCATAAACATGTGATAAATAAATATTATCTAAACATATATATATATATATTCGCCTAAATCCCATAAACAAATATTATATAAACATATATTAGCCTCCCACAAACAAATAATGAGCGTTGCAGGGTATTTTCATCACAAAATGATCATTAATAATTAATTTTGACCGTAAGTGGAGAATGTGCTTCACAAAGAATAAGAGCCTAGACCTAAGGTCAACCATCAATGTTGCTTAGATCCTCGCGGCCATCGCTAAGAGAAGGCGCCTCGTGAATCTAACCTTGTCGAGGTGCCTAACAAAGGTGACTCACCAAGATAAATCTACGTCTGTTAGATTAATAATTTATAACCTCATTGTTGCCAAACAGATTCTAAAGACTGAATTAAAAATTAGGACTGAAATTATAAATATGTTGACCTCAATATTAGAAATAAAAACAAACACTATGAATATGCTTATTAAAATATTTTATTGCATGAAGTATATCTATTTTTGCCATTGTATATCTTCGACTTCACAATAATTTTATCTATACTTTACCAAACATATAAAATTTTGTTTTTAATTTTCACAACAGTTTTGAAAAAAAAAAAAAAAAAAGGCTTACCTTTATGATCACAATAACTTTTAATTAATAATGAGTTGCAATAAATAATTAACTTTTCACCGAGGCGCATCTCCAATGTGATCATGCCAACGCGCCTGAGGTGGCCTTGCTAAGGCCTTGGCCATCATCTAATCTTTGGGTCCATGATTCACGCTGCAAATTAATGCATTTATCGATTATGAATGTGGAAGACAAATATCACTGAATTTGAACCTCCATTAAGAGATGACACATTCAGTCAATTTTAAGAAAGGAAACAAATCCCTTCATTTATGCTCGAGATAAACTTGATAGTAATAATAGTCATCTCCGATGATGTATAAATACCTCTCATAGAGGCAAATGTACGCACTTTTACGAACTAAAACTCTATCGAAGTAGACAGGTTCGTAGATTTAAGCATTGAAGTGCCTTTGCCGATAACACACTGCTACTCCCATTTTCATTTGTTGGTTTTACACACTATTGATGTTAAACAAAGTGTTAATACAAAGTTCTTGGTCAAGTCATTAGTTCAACCGAATTACGAGCTTAGATGTGTTGGTGTTGGATAAAGGGCCAGTTTAGTAGTGTTCTAGATTTTAAAAAAATTACTCTTAATTGTATTGATAAATAAAACAGCTATTATAAAAAAACAGTTGAGTGTTTGGTAACTATAATTATATAAGTATTGTTAGTTCTAAAAGTATAACTTAAAAAAAAAAAAACACAATTTGTTCCTGAGTTTGGGAACATTAAATTTATAATAATTCATATTTTTTCATTTATTCATTCACAATATTTAGTTACAATAAAAATGAGTATTAATGAGTAATTAACAGAGAGAGAAACGGAGAGAGAGAGCGCAAAGAGAGAGGGAGAGGGAGACCGAGAGAACAGAAAGAGAAGAGAGAGAGACCGCGAAAAGAGAGAGAGATAGGTGATGAGTCTCATAAATTTTGGGTATGAGATTTTTAGATTTCAGCATGGGTAATATAGGTATTATAAAGTTTTATTAATTGGAAGTAAAAAGATTGCCGTACAATCTAAAAGTTAAAATTATTTTTGAGCTGCTTTGATTTTGGTTATGAATTCTTTAAAAATTATTTAAAAATCATTTTTTATAGTTTTTACAAAATATAAATTTCAACTGCGGATGACTAGAGAATTGATTTGGGCTCCAAGAATCACTACCAAATTGGGCCAAAATTTTACACCAGCAATAAAAGCTAAAGCAGCATTGGCAAGATATATTCTAAATATCTAACGATTTAGAGATGCATCATATTTGTTAGACATTTGGTGTGTCGAACACAAGGTGGCAACTCCACTTAATTCTATTATTTTGCTCAGCCAAGTTAAGAAAAGGCTTTGGGGCACATCAAATACAACATGAGTTTCAGACGACGTCACATAAAGGCCTAAAACTTTAACCTACGAATTTGACTCTAAAGTCCCAAGCCACGAGTAACAATAACCTTTCTGTTAAAGCTCATCAAGTTGAAAGGACGAGGCAGGTCAGCCAGAAAGGCAAGCCAACCAAACCAAAATCTAGTTCATTGGCCAAAAAAAAAAAAACAAAAAAACAAAAACAAATCTTGAGAAGATCGACTTAAAGCATTGGAGAATCTTTCGCCTACAGATTCTTTGCATTATTCTTTGCTTAAGAAGTACAAGATCATACAATAATAAATTCATCCAATTAGGTAAATCTTTCAACAATATGAATCTACTAACAAAATTTATCCCCTTAAAAAAATATTATACTCCAATGCATTTCAATTTTTACCCTTATTAGCAAGAAAGTTACCACGTATGCACCTATGCAAATGCAAAGCCAAATTAGTCTAAAACTAGAAGACAAAGAAAAAAGAAAAAATAGTTTTAAGTAGATCTCCCAGGCCAGGTGATGATGCAATACGAAAAGATTAATAATAAATATACCACGTAGGTCTGTTCTTTTCTTGCTTTACCGTTCCAATAATGCGAATATTCAAATAAAAATAATAATAATAATGCGAATATTCAAAACCCAGTCCCACTTCCCTCTCCAAAGAGCGTGGCTTTCCTTCTCTTCACGTGGTTGATCTGTTGCCACCGACTCTTCCCTCCCCGGTCCCACATTACTTATACTCACGCCCACTCCTCATCCGCGCGTGCTCACGCTCCTTTCCAACGCGCGTGCTCATTCTCTTTTTTATTTTAATTTCTTTTTTTTTAATTTGTATATAATTATACATTTGGCGCTGTTGCCGTCAGTGTCAGGTGTCAATCGAAAATCTCACGGCGACAAACAAAACAAGAGTCTCCCTTTTCTTCTTCTTCTTCTTACCTCTCCTCTTTCTCTCTGCTTCTCTCTTCAGTCTTCCTCTTCTTTGTGTAATAAGAGTTTCCTAATTCCAATCTTATGTTTTTGACACAAAGGCTGAAACGGCAGAGGCCTTCTTTTTCTTCTTTCTCATATTTAGAACCCCACAATTACTATTTGCACCACAAGAGAGAAAAAGAGGAAGAATCAAGAGGCTTCCTTTTTTCGTTATTTGGGTTTGCCCAATTCAGAGCAGGCCTTTTTCAGCTCCTTTTTCACTCAAATATTGTGATTCCTTTGTTGGGTTTTTGTTTTTTGTTTTTTTTTTGGTCTGATAATATAATATTGTTGGAGAGTTTTGGGAATCAATAATGTCGGGTTTGTACACTCAGAATTTCTCATCAGCGACGGCAACAGCAACAGCGAGAGCTCTTTCTCCTCATATAAGAACCCCACCTGATGTCGAAAGGTGATTAATTTCGATTATTAAGATACATACATATATATGTATATATGTAATATGTATGATTGTTGATTTTCACTTTTCACCTTTCTCGATTTTTCTACGTATTGATTAACTGACATACATGTATATTATATGTATGTATACACATATATATTTGGATTCTATGCTGTTTGATTGGTTTGTCTCCTTTTTTTTTTTTTTTTTTTTTTCTAGTCAGTACTTGACAGAGCTGTTAACAGAGCGCCAGAAGCTTGGTCCCTTTGTACAAGTTCTCCCCATATGTAACCGACTACTTAATCAAGGTTTTATTTTTATTTTTATTATTTTTACTTCTTATGATCTTCGATCACCTTGTATTCATGATTTTTGTTGAAGTTTTTTTATGTACTTACAATTGCATTTGGAAAATAAATCTAATTGAAGTAGGACTCGGGAATTGCTTAGAAGTAGTTGTTGTTTGTGATTATGGTTAGGACTTATAATTGTTGTACTGCTCAAGCAGAGTTTTTATGCAATATCCATGATAAATTTCCGGAGATCAATTTGTGAGATAGTTCTTTTGTTGTTAGCAAACAAATGGAGTTTAGTCAGGCTGATGGAAAGATGCATACAGATTTGGTACCTCAATTACTTTTGTTGCAAATTAAATCCCTAACTCTTTCCTACCAAGAACAATAAAACCGCACAAATTTTATATCTGTTCACAAAGATGAAGTAGAAGATTATAAGAGAATCACATACCTCACTTCTCTTAGACTCTTTATATCTTTTTGTCTAACTTCTAATATGAATTTGTTGTCCCCCTTCCAACTCCCACTACAACCTTACTGTAAAAGTTGATCTGCGTGCTGACTATGCGTCGAGCAATAATTAGGCTCCACACACTAAACAACCTTGAAGTACTTTATTGGATTTTTGGTTGTTTAGCGCTTAATTTGCACTCAACCACTATGAGGATTTTGAAAATCCTTCTGACACTTTCCTCTCAAAGCAGAGAGTCAAATGATATTAGTTAATGAAGGAACCCATCCTGTAATCGCCTTTTATATTCTCATATGTACTTTATTGTTTTATATATGGCTAATCCACCATTTCCATATACTCTGTCTGTTATCCTCGTAAAATGTTACTCCATCAAGAAAATGGCCCTATGCTCCATTCATTTTCTCATTCATCATCTAACATATATAGGAAGAAAATTATTAAACTCCGTTACTCTTCTATTTTGACAGAGATATTTAGGGTTTCTGGAATGATCTCCAATCAAGGGCTTAATGACTATGACAGACTACAACGTGGAAGTCCTAGTCCAGTTTCTTCCGACATAATGCCAAATTATAGAGGAACAGGCCTTGGTAGCTGGCATGGGCTACCTCACGATGTAAGTATCAGGAACTTTGTTACTTCTGGCATCGCTATTTTGTTTCTCAAAGTGTTCCAGTTCTTACGTCCTCTCACTTACCTGACAATTGTACAGGAGCTTATTTTCATATCATTTCTACCAAATTCATGATAAATGTTTCATATACACGCTTCTTTATTGTGAGTCATTGAAGCTCTAGGGTGAGTTTGATTGCAGTGGAGGAATAGTAATGGTAATGAGAATGAGAATGGTAATGATAATGGAATGGAAAATAAAGTTGATTCATTTATTTGGTTGTTATTTTAGGAATACAATGGAATGGAACATGAATATTTTTATGTTCACAAAATTACCCTTATATTATATATAACACTAATATTTTATATATCAATATAATTAATACAGTATATAAAATGTAATATAATATAATAAAATTATTATTAGATAATATATTATATAATTATGATATAGAAAATAATAATATTAAAATAATTAGTATAATTATAATATTATGAAATATATTATAAGATTATATAATAAATAATAATATTTCAGTTATAATATAATTAAAACTTACGACTATATTATATTATAATTTAATATAATATATATAGTTACAATACAATATGTAATTATTATTATATTTAATATAATACAATAAAATTATTATTATATAACATATGGTATTGAATATAATATTATTATTAAAATGGTTAATATAATTATAATATTATAAAACATATTATAGTATTATATAAGAAACAATAATGTTTTATAATATAATTAAAAATTACAACTATATTATATTATACTATAATATAATATATCTAATTATAATATAATATATTATTATTATATTAATTAAATAAATATATTATAATTAGTACATTATATAGTCATAACATGTGTAATACACTATAATAGATAATAATATTATAATTATAAGATTATAATAAGATTATAAAA